CATCTCCCCTCGCTTTGATCTCAATAGATTCTCTTTTGTTTTCATTTTACTCCATGTTTATGTTTTGTGAGTTACACGAGCTTTGATAAGCACACAACACAAATGAGTTCTGAAAGATAAAACTGTACATTGTAAATATATGAATCTTTAATGGCTTCGGTTATAAATTTTTTTACTTAAGAAAAAAATATTATTGAATACTTGGAATTTCCTGGACAACATTGAGTTTTATAAGCACTTTGTTAATATGTGTATACGAGATTAATATTATTTAAGCTTTACTTAAATTGTGTGATGAGGTAAACTTAATTTTCTATTACGTTGTCCTGTGATCGATTTAGCTGTAACGGCCCTTTCACACGGCAGTCCAGTTTTTTACAGGATCCCGTTTTCTGCAGGATCCCGTTTGATGGCGAATGTGTTTATATGCTAGCGTTCACACGAGCATCCCGCATGCGGGATCCTGCAAAAAACCGATCCGGTCGAATTGTGCAATTCGGTTTTGTCACTAGAAACTGGATCCGTAGTCCAGTAAAAAGCGGGATCCCGTTTAATCACACATACATTTCAATAGCAGTGTTCACACGGCTTCCTGCGTGCGGACACTGTTTTTTGCGGGATAGTGGAGTGGTGGCAGCCCCCGCCACTTTAGAAAAATTTTAACTCATCTCTTCTCAAATCACTCATAAGATTCTGAAAAATACCCAAATTTGAGGGTTGTGTCAGAATAGGATGAACCCAGAATCTTCTATTTCGCTGCCGACTTCGATAATACCAATAGAAAATTAGGAAACTATTCACGTCCATTTCACCTGATAACCGGCGTAGGAATGGTAAAAAACAGGATGCAACCGTGTTCATACGGCAGTCTAGTTTTGCGGGACCAGCTTTTTACTGAATCCTGCAAAACTGAACTGCCAAGTGAACACAGCGTCCAGTTTAGCAGGATACCGTAAAAAGCCGATCCTGCAAAACTGGACTGCCGTGTGAAAGGGCCGTAAAGGTGTAATGTTAATGACAAAAGGGTATTATATCCTTCACTAAGGAACGGGGGCAATCAAATGTAGGGAAAAGGCGTTTTTGATGTTATATTTGTTCGATGTAGGTGTTTAGAATGTGCATAAACATTATTGATATCGTGTAATACGTGGTTCACTTTTTTATTAATACACCGTTTGAGGTGTTAATAGCAAATATTGAAAGTAAAATCTATTAGCGTACAGCTGAACTTTAAAAAAAAGAAAACAGTGGCGCTACAACCTCTTTAGGTCTCGGCCTAAGATTTCTGAATCTGTTTCATGATAATTTTTTCAATGTAATAGGCAAGTAGGTGATCAGCCTCCTGTGCCTGACACACGCCTCAATGAAAACACTTCTCTCAAAACAAAAGGTTGTTCTTACATAAAAATAGACAATCTAAAACCCTTCAACTGTGACGGCCATTTTGCGGGAATCGGGTCATCGTGTGTCGCTATTTCTGGGTAGCCCCACGTGACATCGGCGCTAGATTAAAATAAAATATCTCTGAAGTTTTGTATGCTTTTTAAAACCTATGTGATTGAAATTTCAAAAATGTTCCTACAAAACCCTATATAAGTTTCATCATAGGACGTCGAGGCAGAATACAAAATACCATCCGTAACACCTCGACGTCCGTCGTTCCACAACTGAGCGTTTTTAAGGCTGTTTTTGCCGCGCACCAATATTAAGTGGAATTAGCTGCCCACTGAAGTATTTCTGAACTAACTCGACGAAGCCAATTCTTAAAAGGCCGGCAACGCACTCGCGTACCCTTGGGCATTGAGAGTGTGCATATCGCTTAAGCCCGTTTGCCCCTTGTTACATAAAAATAAAGTCTTTTGCGTAATAAATAATATATTTTAGTTATTATACTCTATTTTTTAAGGTTATTATGTATTACTTGTGTATCCAGAATCGACTAAAACTTTAGTTTTCTTTTGTTGTATCTATGTACTAGAAATAAACTTTATTAGTAATCATAAAAATACACAGGATTACAAGTATGGGTTTATTATTTAGTTTCGCTAAAGTACAACAGCCTTTACTGGATGCTAGGAAGAAACTCAAGACTTTCTCTAGATAACAAACTTCTTATATATAAAGTCATCCTAAAGCCCATTTGGACATATGGCCTCCAACTGTGGGGCAGCGCAAGTGATACCAACATAAAAATACTCCAGCGACAACAGAACACGATCCTAAGAGCAATTGCAAAAGTACCATGGTACATAACCAACAACGAAGTTCACGAACACCTTAAAATGAGAACTATCAAAGAGGAAATCCGCAGACTGGCAGCTAAATACAAAGAGCGGTTAAGCTGTCACCCGAGTGAACTTGCTCGCCAACTCATGGTGAGTTGGCGAGCAAGTTCACTCGGACGTACAGGTAAATTAGCTTGGAGAAATTTTTGCGTTTGTAGTAGTGTATGGTCAGCAAATAAAAAAAAAAAAAACATTTTATTTTTAGTTTTTATTTTTTTAAAGGTAATATACGTTTGTGGCTGGAGCACACCAAATGCGTACACGTCTACGCATACGCACTACGTACTAATACGGACGTGAAAATGTGTATCCACTGCATTGTAATCTATGGAACTGTATGAGGCAGATAAGCCAGTTCCAAATATTACAAGCAGTGAATGCCGGTTTTCACTTCAGTGAAACGTGTATGAATTAGGTGTTCTCCGGCCATAAATGTTTTATTCTAATAATTCATCAACCCCAGGCATATCACAATCATCCCCATCCTCGCTTTCATCAGATGAATTATTTAAATTAATTATGATTCGTTCTGATATTGTGTCTAAAGCTGGTCTCTACCCTGATATTTTTTTCCTCCTCAATAGCATGCAGACAAACTTTTCTCCATTCCTCTACAGTTATGGCGTTCATTTTTTCTTCAGCTAATGACATTATAACCTTCATATTCATTGCGACATTCTTTTTTTGCGACATATGTTTTCACTATCCCCATATATTTTCTATAGGATTAAACTCCGGATGGTATGGTGGTAAACGCAGACAGTATGACCGTGCTGTCGTAATATTTCGTCTATCTTGTACTCTACAAATCTCGCCTTGTTTTGCAGAATCAGTTCATATAATTGAGGCTTAAGCAACGTGGATGAATGCTCAATGTTTCGCAATGTCAGCCAGTCAATCATTTGCTGTTTTCTAGAATTACTATTGGTGCAGGATTTTGTATTGAGTTATGATATGGTGGTTGTCAACAACAACAACACTATTTGGTTGTAAGTTGGGTATTAATTGAGTTTGAATCCACCTTGAATAGTTGTCATAGTTCATATTGTCGTGGTAATCTCCACTTTTTGGTTGGCTTTAAACATAAGCAATGCATTTGGTATAAAGCCATCCATACCACCGGCATGAACAATGATTAAGCGGTTACCTTTCGATATATGTTGCTTCAAACCTGAAGTGCTTCCATCTGACCAAGATTTCGAGAGGGTATGTGATGTATGTATATATGTTTCGTGGTGTAAACAATTGGTGGGTTTTCACGATATTCAGCAATTTTCATCAAATAATTAATTCGCAAGTATCTAATTTCGTGTTTTTCCATAAGAAGTTTCCGGTTATCTTCTGTTTGCTTCCAATTAAAACCTAATGACATGAGTGTTTTGTAATGCTGACACAACCTTTATAATCGATATCTTCTTTTAATTTTGCGTGCAAAGTTTTCAAAGTGGGAATTTCTTTATTTGTGATGTGGAAGTCATGAATTGTTCTTCTGATAACTTGCTGATCAAAGTTATCGATTACTATTGTAGGTTTACGATTGTTTCTTTTTAGAGATTTAAATGTTACTTCCTGATCTGAAGGTCGACATTTGCTTTCTGATACTACCTTTCTGACGGATGCTATTGAAATTCCTTGATTTAGCAACTAATTGAGTGGGAGTCATAATACTGTGGGTTGTTATTACACTCATTTTCGAAATATTTGTACAAACAGTACAAAACTTCTTTAGTTTGAGAAGTCAAAGGCTTGCTCGACCATGTTTTAACACTGGAGCCATTTTTAATTAACAATATAAAGTTGCAACACTTACACACAAATTAAACACTTCAACAAATATTATAACAATAATAACAAACAATAACAACAATCAACAAATACAAAATTTAACAATTAACGTAATAATTATAATTTTTGAATGAAATGTGTGCTTTATGTTCTAACAGTACCAAGCGACTGACGCCGGACTGACGTGGCACCTGGGACAGCGTAAACTGGTTTATTCTGGTTTTGTGGTTTTCCACTTTCCACTATCAAGTGACGATTTTTTGCTTTAGATTGAAATATCTGGAAAGGTGGTCCTAGGCCAAAAATAAATTTTGACCCCCCTAGACCCCCGGAGTTTTAAAAACCTAGATGAAAGGAAAAAAATATATATCGGTCTCTCCTCTTTGAAGTTTCACTTCTATCGTGTGTGAATGCGCACACACCTTTTTTTATAAAGTCAAAACCTTTTTTTTTAAATAAAAACTTGTTTTTATTGATAACAAAAATCAGAGTGTTGCTAGGATAAGTATAATATTAAATAGTAATGTTAGGATATCGAAACATTTTTGTATAGGCCAGAACGATATATGAAAGGCTCTAAGATTATAATATAACACACTACATATGAAAAATTTTATTTTTTGACAGTATGTGAGTCGACTAAAACGTCAACATATTCTAGAACTAGAAGACCGGCAGTAGCTCTAGATAGTAGATGAGTAGATGCTTCCAATGGGAAGTCACTCCACATGACAGCACCACAGAAAAAAAACGCTCATAGCCTTGGGGCTGATTGCAAATAACCGCAGAAAAAAAAAAAAGTTTTCAGGAAGTTTCTATTAGTGTAGTTTTGCACCATACGAAAAGAAGAATTTCTCTAAATTTATCGGACAAGCTTTATATTGAATACCATGGACTAACCAGAGATAAATGTAATCTTTTTTGTTTTAGATGAAATGGGGAGTGGCGAGCGGAATGGGCGTTTCGCTTGCTGCTGCTGTTCTCCTTATGCTGCCCCTCTTCACCTCATCCACAGGAGATATACGTAAGTTATTTTATGTATTTACACTGGCAAATTCATATGCTAATTAGTAGATACAGTAGATACCGTGGATAACCTAATCGTGTAGTCAAAATGTAGGTATGTTTCCGTGTATAATATAAAAAAAATATTTTCGAGCAATGAAACACTCCTTTTTATAAGTTACTAGCTAACCCAGCAGACGTTTATTTGCCATGTATATTATTTCTAGGAAACATTTTTTTAGTTCAATAAAATTAACTATCTATAAAAAATTAGGGATTGATCGTAGAGGAATGAATATTAGGGATTGTATGTATTTTTGTACGCTATATATAAATAAAAATGTGTGCGTGTACTAGGTGTACACAAGTAAGAAGTGAAACTTATATAAAACCTTTGTTGTACGCATAGCCATAATTGGTTTGTTTTAAGTTTAGAGGTCCGAAACTATTTCTTTAAACACAGTAAATTTTGATACACTGCCTAGCATACAATTTACAAATTAATTGCTGCAAATTGCGATTAGCCAAATTTCAAGTCGAAAATGTAATCCGTTGTCAAACTTCAAATTCAAAAACCTACTATATGTCATATTTTAACGCCGATAAAGAAGTTTGACTTCGAAAATGTAATCCGTTGTCAAACTTCAAAGTCAAAAACATACTATATGTCATATTTTAACGCCGATAAAGAAGTTTGACTTCAAAAAGCAACATGGCGCGTAACGGAAAAATGTGACGCGTAACGCAAAAATGTTACACTAAATTTTTTTTCCAACCCCGATAAAGAAATTTCACTTCAAAAAACAAAATAAAATTCTAAAGTAAGAATGAGTCGAGCCGTTGTGACAAGAGGACGAACATTGTGACACGAGAATTTTATATATATGATACCGTCACAAAAACTAGCTCAAATTAATATAGACAAATTAATTTACATACACATAAATTTTTTTGTTGAGCAGTATAGATTAGTGAATTTCGCAATCATAAAATATCAAGTTAAATAGAGAGCATCCATTGATATTCAAGACTGTTCGTACATTACTTATTATGAATACGTTTAAAGCCTCCAGACTAATAAGATTATTTGTGTATAATGTTCTCTTATATTGTTGTGAAGAATTAATAATAACTAAAACAAAACATGATAGAACAGTGTTGGCCTAGTGGCTTCAGCGTGCGACTCTCATACCTGAGGTCGTAGGTTCGATCCCCGGCTGTGCACCAATGGACTTTCTTTCTATGTGCGCATTTAACATTTGCTCGAACGGTGAAGGAAAACATCGAAAGGAAACTGATATGTCTTAGACCCAAAAAGTCGACGGCGTTTGTCAGGCACTGGAGGCTGATCACCTGACTATTACATTTAAAAATGATCATGAAACAGATTCAGAAATCTGAGGCCAAGACCTAAAGAGGTTGTAGCGCCATTGATTTATTTATTTAAAACAAAACATCACTCAGTATTTTCAATAACATAGATTGGAAAATTGTTGTACCCTATATATACGTACGGTTATTCAATTTACAAGCAAACATAATAGGGCACCGAAAATGGACAATCATAGTTTTATTAATTTTCAAACTTCAATACAGTTGTAACAAAGCGTTGTCTATCACAGATCTATTGTTACAAGAACACAATCACATTCTTTTGTGAGAATATTGTAAAACAGAATTCTAAAAAGTCCATCAAACAGAAGGCCATGACCTCAATAAAAGCGGTTAGCGAAAAATTTTGCACCACCTGTGCAATACTGGTTATGTGCGATTTCGAAGCCAATGCGTTAGACTGTGGATTTCGATATAGCTTTTGTTCCTAGGTAATTAAATATGTAAAACGTGTGAACAGTATCACTGAGTGACTAATTGGTTGCAATTTTAAATCATAACATAATACAACACACAAAGTATGTTAAGTCAAATAAATAAAATTAATATATTTTGAATTAGTTACGTAATAAGTTGTTTAAATAGTTCAGTGTAAAGCGTCATAGTTCGACTTTATTGACCGAGTTTTTAAGGCGTTGTTCCTTCTACACAGCGGCGGATCTACTTCACTTTGGGCTGCAGCCTAGGGTCCCGTGGATACGAAAGGCCCCAAATCCCCACTGAAAACAATAGGCAATATTTTGAATTAAAAAATATCCGAAATTTTAAAAAATCCAATCATAAGGTTGGTTTCCCTGAGATTCATGTGCGATACGTGTCTATCGAACGGAACGGGGAATTCCTAGTCGCTTGTTTTTTTTCATGTGTGCATCTATTACGGGGGACTTTCATATAATAGCCCAGAGCCCCACATAATCACCACCCGCCCATGATACTACTAAAAACTATCTTGAATTGGAAAAAAGGGTTATAAATTTACTTAAATTCAAATAAAATACCCACTGGAATTACTTAAATTACACCTGGCCGTGTTTTAATCCTCAAGTAGCGAAAAGTGAAGTGTTGCTACCGTAACCGCTATTGTCGTGAACATACCGTCATGGTTTTATGCGCGAGCGTCAAACGGATTAAATTTAAGGTGCGTTAAGCTTTACGTCAAGAGCCAGGAAACGTTGGAGATTTAATTTAGACACCCCTGTTGAATCTCGGAGTAGATTAGGAAAATTAACCTTATTTTACACTTCGAAGCTTGGCATGCATATTTTATGGTTTTACGTAAATTATAAAGGAAAGTTGAAATTAAGAATAAATGATATAGGTAGTTGTACAAATATTCAAGGATTATCGTATTAAAACGTGTGAAAGCTGGTACATCTTAGACTTGGTAAGTATATAATAACTACATAATATTTCTATTTGTATTTGACTTTTAATGCAATTATGTATTAAAATTGCATATTTGCAGTAAATGTAATAATAAATAAACAATACATTATTTAAAGGCCTGAATTCACTTTGATTACTGATTAGAAAACTGAATTTAGTTAACAGAGCCACTAATCAATAATTGGACACCACTTGCACTACACACCTGCACTAATTATCCTCACTTGCACTCGAACTAATCAAAGTGAATACAGGCCTTAAGCGTGCTAATTATTGCAGCTCCTTTGTCAGTCTCGGCAGACATAGTGACATTATAGACTTTTGCCCTAAGGAGTTTTATTCAAAACTATTGTAAATTTCATATATTTTCCTTTAATACATCTTAAGATTTCTCAAAAAAGAATGCCCAGTTTATAAAGAGAAATTTGTTGATTATTGCAAGCAACACACGACCTCTGATATCAAGTCTTCCATTTCTTTTGTGATAAGTGGATAAAAGTAATATAGATTCCAATACTGAATTTAAAAGTTTTATTAGAAATCTGTTTTGGCCTAGTTATAGAGTGAGCAATGCAGTTCTGAGAATTAAAATTAATATTTCCTCGCACGTTGAGTGAAAAAGTTGTAAGCCGTCATGTTTTAGAGGTATGTATTAGGTACGGAATTTAATTTATTTACTCACATTTCATTGCATAAAGAGTATGAAAAACATTAGGTTGAATGACAAGGAACTAGGAAGTTAACGAAGGAATCGCTAGCAAAATATCACTTCTAGGCCTCCCAACCCTGCCTTGCGATTCTGTAACTCACTTTTCGAACTCTAACAGCGGTTTTCGTCAACAGTCATTTTACGATTCGGCATACTGATAAGGAGGGAGCTTGTAGTTTATTGTTTATCAGAATGCCAAATCGTAAAATGACTGCTTTACGACTGATTTGAGCGCGACCGCCGCTGCGAAAACCGCTGTGAGAGTTCGAAAAGTTAGTTACAGAATCGCAAGGCAGATAAGGATAAACATTTAAATATTAGGGAAAATGTTAGTAGTAACTAACTACGCCTATAAAAGTTTTGATGAAACAGTACCAATGCTAGCTCAATGCCCCATTCCTGGCCTACGATACACTTGATACGTGAAAATACCTAAACTTTGATCAAGATATTTCCAATCACCGCTTTTATCGCGGAGTACTACAGGTTGTTGTACATAAAAAAATGCTGTTTTGTACACAGTTGCAATTCAGTTAACAATTTTACCGCGCGTGTCAATCCATTTAAACTTGCTAGCACTCAATAACTTAAACCGTTTCATAACTTTCCCCTTTACATTTCGATATTGGCCAAAAATGGAAAATCTATATTCGGTTTATTTTTGGCGAAGCGTGAAGTGTACTCGCAAAATTAAACTGTTTGTAACAAGTGAACACTTATTGATAATAACTAAATCAGTCTAATTACAAATTTAATAACACAGCGTCTATTTCCAATACTAAACACAATTAGAATTAGAATAGATAGATAGATTAGAATTCGAAAAATAAAAGTTGTCATTGAAACAATGCAATGATATCGATTTAAAAAAATAAAAATAAGTCAGTGGCGCTACAATGTTTTTAGGTCTTGGCTTCAGATATCTGTATCGGTTTCATGATCATTTTTAATCTATTAGGCAAGTAGGTGATCTGCCTCATGTGCCTGACGCATGTCGTCGACTTTGGGTCTTAGGCAAGCCGGTTTCTTCACGCTGTTTTCCTCCACCGGATCGAATGTACGACCCCATGATGAGAGTCGCACGCTGAAGCCAACACTGATCTTGATTTTATGAAACATTAAATTTTACGTTCCTCCTAATGTTTTTTGTAATCAATATACTTAATTAAAAAAAGGTTTTATGAATCTTATTCCTATATCAATAAACTGCATACGAGTGGCGTAATGCTTAGGAAAAAACTTCATTTCATTTCAAATGATATTTATAATAAATAAATTATTATAATTATATGGTGGTGATAGTCGCACATGTCAATATTTTGTTTTTTATAATATTGAGATAAGTTTTACATAAAATTGGTTTAAAGTTAAAAGTGTTGTTAAAAATGTACTAGAGTTAACAACAACAAAAAACAAAATTTTATCAACATTTTGATCAATAATACATTGCAACAACTTTTGCTGAATAGATTTGTAAAAAAAAATCATCAACAAGTTTCCTGTCTACGCTAAATTCGTGTCTTATTCAGAATCTTTCGTCAAACTGTGTCAGTTGCATGGACACCGTAATTGTGTCCAAAGTGTGGAAATAAAAATAGTGGCGAACACGTGCTATATTTGTGCAAAACGGACAGGCGGAACAATTTCCTAGCACGGTGAGCAAAATAAACCTTAAAGTTTTGGTCCATTCTGCAAGTTCATAAACTATTTCTCATTGAATGCCTGAATCTTCTTTGTCAGAAGATATGAAAATGTTCAAAGTTAGTTATAGGAATTCCAGCATTATCTTTTCTTACAGCAACTACAGGTGGTTTCAGAGACAAAATTTAAAACGTAAAAAGCCGAATAGTTTTATTAAAAGTCAGTAACTTAAATGGACACATATCTGAGTTCAAAATAGGTTAAATTAATTGAAATGAATGTTACCGAATTAACCTTGGATTTGAATAAGCGAGAACAAATTAAGTTTATGAATTATATTAAAGTTATAGGCATTACGGTCTATTGATCAGAACAAGTAAAAGTCATAAGCAGTCATAAATCCACTTAACAGCTGTGTAAAATAAAATATGTATTTGCAAGACGAACTGTTGGTGAGATTATGCATCGAAGAATAACAGCATAGATTCTATATTTTTGATCAGCTCGCAATTTATAATCGCTTATTATACAGCTAAAAAGGCTAAGAGGCTTTTAGTCGATACCAACTCCGGGGAAATAAATACAGATAATGCAACTTTCTCTGCAGCTGTGATACTTTTTGACATTCAACATCTTTTGTCTTCAGTCACCGTGACCACGCACGCTGTAAAGCACGCGAAACGTCGGATAAATTTAAAATTATTTCAAATAGTTGTAAATTTATAATAATAAACATAACTTTAATCCGGTAAAAAGCGTTTTTCTTTATATGTGTAAAGGTTATGTTAATCAAAGACAATACTAAGGCTAAGAGGGTCAATAGAAAGGTTACGTGTGGACATTGGAATTGTACATGCACGACAGGACCCACTTCTGTGGATCATTTGATACGAGACAAAATTGATTTGAAAACTGTTTTGGTTTGTGATTAAATATGCGAAGCTGTTCCCGTAGAACGGAATAAGTTTAGATTTTTAGGTTGTTTTTGTTACTATATTTTAATATCAGTTACATTACGTTCAATTTGAAGAACACGTAGTCGTTATTATTCTAAAACAATAAGCTAACTGTATATGAAACCCGATAATATGAATGATAAATGATATGACTAGTATATATAGATATAATATATAGTAAGCATGTAAGAGTTACATTACCTTACCTTATTGAATTAAGTATTAATACAGAGTGCATAATTAGATTACACTTATATTTTAAAATTAATGAATTGTTTAAATAGCTTTTGGTTAATATTAGTAGGGCTTAATTAATATACTGTTATTCAAATAACTCGTTTTTAGATTCAATTCCACAAATCTAATTATATTGTTCTTCATAAGATTATGTGTGTTAGCACACACCTCTAATTAAACAAACCCCGCAAAGGTAAGCTTTTAGGTAACACAGCTTATGTTGAGTGGATTGCGTTTCAAAAAATATGCCCTTTTTGATTATTTATTAATAAGAAGTAATTTGTTTTAACTTTTTGTACTTTGATTTTAAAGGTTATTTTTTTCCAATCAAATCATAATAGGTCTCCCCGTTGCAATTAAACACATTCAGTCATTTATGATATTAGTATGGATATCTTTTCCAGGACATCACGGCGCATCGAAAGCCCGTGGTTGGCGTGGCAGTGTTGCACCAGCAGATGTTACAGCGAACAACTCCGTCAGCAATGTCACAGCACAGCTGGGGGGCACAGCGTATCTCCACTGCCTTGTAGGGCATTTAAATGAACGAGGGGTAATATTTTAGTTATTAAAAATTCAACTTTATTAAATTAAGTTTTGATGGAAAATTTGAACTACGACTGTGCACCAACAATCATCACAGGGTGACGGATAACATCGTGAGGAACATGTTTCTAACCGTAAAATTATCTTTTGCTATATCTTGTAATTCTTTTGTTATATTTATCTTTATACACTTATTAAGTATAAGCATTATGTTTGCGAAAACCTCTTTGGCAACCACTGAAGGAAAAAAAATGTGTGTGTTGCCGACCTTTAAGGGGATAAATAATAATTTATTGAGGGCTCATCTATAAAACATTGTTTTAGCTATTTATATTAAAATTAATATATCCAGACATTAATAGACGTCAACCACAAAATTTCAAATGCTTTTTTCTATATTTTTCACTACTAAGCGTTTCTTAAGGCAGTGAAAAGGCTATGTGAAATCAGCTGCTTACTGAAGTATATCCGAACCAATTCGACTTCTTAAGAGACTGGTAACACACACTCGTAAGTGTCTATGGGGGCGGTATCACTAAACATATTACATGAAAAAATAAATTGTTGTACAAAAAACTAAGCATTCATTTACCAGCACAGTTGATATTATTACATCGAGCAATCAAATTTTCAATACTTTTACAAAATTTGTGAGTTCACAGCATGAATACATCAATCAATCCAAATAGCCTTTCATTCACACAAATTGCTGTCACAATATTCCATATCTCGCAATTCTAAATATCAAGTGGACGTGCGCGATATGCAAATTGTACTGCAAGTCAGATTGTAATTGTGCCAACTTGCCAGCTATAAGCTTAGCAAGCGTTTTACAGCTGGAAATTTTATATAACTTGAATTCATGCATTCCGGTACTAACTGGTTACAACTGGGAACGTATAAAACTAATTTATGAGTCACTCAACTATTCTTCATTAAGTTTCGTGTAAATGTAGTTTGTTTCGGATTTTCAGTGTTTCGTGGTAATGGATTCTGCGCAATATTGCTATGCATTGGGAAGTTGCGTGAAAAGATGGTTAAAAACTTCCTAATTAATTTTGCAATAGGAATAGCATATTGAAGCATCAATTTTATATATGTACTTGGAGGTTTTAGCTATGCCGATTCTAGATTTATGCCTCTCAGATGAGTTGTAATTTAGCTGGTTGAGTTACGTTAATTTATACAAAAATGTCTGATAGTTGCGTCATTATCATCAGCAAAATTTAAGACTCGTGTGTGTCGAACGTGTGTAACATAGATTAATGATAATAATAGTGGGTCAAGCAATAGTATGTTTGATGTATTTTAATAAATTTTATGTATTCCTAATTTTGTAAAATTGATTAGGCACTTCATACAAACATTAGCTAATATTACGATCATTTGCGTCAATAAAGATTTTTTAATTTTAGATTCACTTAATTGTATAAACAGGCGTGTTAAAAGTTTTTACACTAATACAATAATTTAGAGGTACATCATATATATATATTACCTATAATCTCTCACTTCAAATACGCATGTGAAATGGGATACACCACAATCTTTAATTACCAGACAACGATGCTAGAAATATGCAAACAAATAATAAGTCCTTCAACCTTTTGCAGAAAGACTTCAGATTGCTATTATTTAATTTTTTTGAAAACTTGGTTAATATTATCCTCGCGATGTTCCCATTCCTAATGAGCAAGTCTTAATATTAATAAAACTATTGGTGCACAAGAGGAATCAGCACGCGACGCACAACCAAGCTAGCGTTAAAATAAATAAAATACTTAAAGCCATTATCAATTAATTTTTTAATTTAATAAACTTACGAGTTATAACAGCAGTTTTTCATTTTTCAAGTGTTGAGTGAGATGACAATATATTAATGGTCTATTTCCTTCACAGCAAGTGTCCTGGATTAGAAAACGCGACTGGCATATCTTGAGCTCCGGGAAGTTCACCTACACCAATGATGAACGGTTTCAGGTAAGATTAGTGAGACAGACATATTTATGTGACTGATATTTTAATATTATTTATTTTATTTACACTTCTGTACAAGAAATATGTTCTATAGAAAAACAAATAACAATACACATAAAAAATATAAGAGATGCAACGGGCGGCCTTATTGCTAACAAGCGATGTCTTCCAGGCTACCTATGATGTGTAAAGTGCAAGAAGTCAATATTTTAAAATATATATATATCTATCCAAAAATTGTATGAAGCTATCCAAATCAAATTAAAGAAATTCGAAAACTATCTACGTTTAAAATTAATTTTGAAATAACTTTACCGAAATAAGTTGTAGAGTTAGGAATCTAACTTTAGGTTATGTAACCAATTATAAAGGTCTGTTTCATAATGATACAATAAAGTTTAAAGATAGCGTAATATTGAACGAGGAATCAATCATGGAATCATATGATTGTCATTTATACGAAACACAAGAAAAAGGAATGTACGATGTATGAGTGGTTTTATCGGTAATAAGTTTCAGAGAACAAAAATATTGAACTCAAAATACAATATTTTTGCTGCATGAACTCACTTACATACACAGTACACACCCTCACGTACTGTATACCCTCAGTTTCACACCATCAAACAACCGAAATAGGTATTACTTCGTTAAATGTATTTGAATTGTTACCTTTCTAAGTTTCGTAAATGTTTGAACCTTTTTAAATATTCGTTTGATTCGTAAATATACTACATATGTTTACTACATATTTGGCTATATATTTAGTTAAATTTTTTTATCATTTATGTTAGCTGTAGGTAAATAGATAAATATTTTGTAAAAATATAATGTAACTAGCCGTTTCGCGCCCGCTTTGCTGGACGAATTAAAATAAATTTTATGTTTCATTATTTTATTTTTTTTCATATTTTTATTATTCTTTTTTTTAACTTCCCGCTAAGAAAATTGAAATATTTCGAAAATCGAGTTTTTAACAGATGTTGACGTTTAGAGGTTCTAGGAAGCCTCCCCGAATGTTTCCGCGGTGAAGTCCGTATGGATAAATTTTCATAAAAGTAAAACAGCAATAAAAAAATAAAGGAACGTTAGAATTAAAATAAATAAATAGCCATAAACCATCTAGGAAACATTTCGCATCGAATGGTGGTAGTTTCATGTCGATACGATCAGTGGTTTAGGCGTGAAGGAGCCTCAAACGAAGACCATTTTTCTTTTATATATATAGATAAGTACACAGCTTGTGATGATAAGTCATAAGGTGATGGTCTAAATACAACAAGGTTGATGATTAAACCAGAAATAGATTTAATATTTTATTATCTTTATTTTTTATTTGTGTACATATTAAGATGCTGCCCTGCGATTCTGTAACTCACTTTTCGAACTCACACAACGGTTTTCGCATTCTGAAAAGGTGGGAGCTTGTAGTTTATTGTTTATCAGAATGCCAAATCTTAAAATGACTGCTTCACGACTGATTTGAGAGCGACCGCCGATGCGAAAACCGCTGTGTGAGTTCGAAAAGTGAGTTACAGAATCGCAAGGCTTTAGTCAAATATAAGCTCGTAAGGTCGTTCTTAGACAAGTGTATTTTGTACAAAAAGACTTGAAAAAATAGATGTTCGGGTACAAAATATATTCAATAAATAGCTATACTTGTCAGTCGTATCTTAAAAATAATACGACCTTTAAATTTACTCTATCTTTCATTTACTTTTAATAATTTAGCTGACGTTTCTTTTGAAACAAACAAAGACCCTTTGCTACACACAGCACTGAAAAGGATTTTATCACATTATGCTATAGTATAGTTAGTCAAATTAAAACAAATCTCCAGCCGTTTGCAGTTGCAGAATAAAGCGGAATTCTGCTAAAAGTATTATTCTTGATCCAGATTAGCGGCTTAGTGAATATGCATGAGGTCCCACTAGCTAAGTGGAGCGCCCTGAAAACTTCCTCAATATTTTCATATGTAAATTTCCGTGGTAGCCAAGAATTGCGCATTATACCTTTTTATTTGCTAATTAGCCTCCCAAATGATACACACATTCAAAGACGCAAACATAAGATTAGAGCTTTTTTGTTTTATATTTTGTTCCTGTTAAGTACAAAGATTAAAAGAAATACGATTATAATACTGTGATTCGATTTGTAAAAGCATTTTTGAAATTATTTCCATTATAATGCTGCAATAACACATTGTTTGATTTAAGAAGACTGTTGAAAGTATTGTCTTTTATTGATATAACTTTTAGACATAGAAAAACGCTTTTTTAACGGATTTGAAGTTATGTTTTATTATAAATTTACAATTATTTTACATAATTTTAAATTTAACCGACGTTTCCCGTGCTTTACAGCGTGCGTGGTCACGGTGACTGAAGACAAAAGGTGTTGAAAGTCAAAAAGTATCACAGCTGTTGAAAACACACAACTTCAAATCCGTTAAAAAAGTGTTTTTCTAAGACTGTTTAAGTGAATCTTTATGAGGAATATTATTTTACTAAAAACTCTTTTTAATAACAAAAGCATTGTTTCAGTATTATTTTAAACTAGCGGATCCGACAGACGTTGTCCTGATGATATTACAAGTGAATAGGATATTAAACAAAATATAAAAGTACCGAATGCAGCGCCATCTTCCGGGCTGATTTGTAAATGGAAACCATCCAGGGTGCATACAAAAAAATTCATTCAAATCGGTCCAGCCTTTTAAGACGTCCAGCCGATACATACACACGCATGGTAGAATTATATATTATATATAAAGATAACGACGTAGACCTTTTTCGTATATCCTTTTGCAAAACCATTAAGCATTGGAATAATTTAATTGGTTTACAGAAAACCGTAACTAAGCATTATCTATGTCTACTTCTAGCAGCCTAAACAGAATTACGTTTAAAACATAACATTATTAACTCATAAAATTCGTGCTATTCTTGATCTTTTTCTTACTTCGATCAATCCCTCTCAGAGCGGCTTGATCCTTTGCCGTTGCGTAGAGATGTGGGGTCACATCTTCTACCGCATTTACCATGGAGAGTGTTCAGAGGAGTTGTTCGGATTAATACCTGCAGTTGAGTTTCATCAACGGACGTCGAGGCAGAATACGAAATTCCACCCGTATCACCTCGACGTCCGGCGTTTCACAGATAAGCGTTTTTCAAGGCAGTTTTTGCCGCACACCACTATGTGGAACCAGCTGCCCGCTGAAATATTTCCGAAACAATTCGACTTAGGGTCCTTCAAGAAAAGAGTGTACCAATTCTTAAAAGGTCGGCAACGCTCTTGCGAGCCTTCTGACAATGTGAATGAGTGTCCATGAGCGGTATCACTTAACATCAAGTGAGCCTCCTGCTCGATTGCCCCCTAATATATAATTATAAAACAAATATATATTGCTCAGACGCCGAGTAAATTTAATCCAGCTAAGCTTTACTTAAAATAATTATGTTTTTAAAGTTCAAACACTGATTTCCATCAAACAATAAACTCTCAATTAGCTTTGAGAGCTCATAAACTCTCAAGTCTCAACGCACTCGATAATTTGAATTTATAGTCCTTAATCGTAGATTAAAATACCGGCAACTCGAGATCCCTCTGGCAATGTGAGTGTTCATGGGCGGCGATATCACTTAAGATCAGGTGAGCCTCCTTCCCGTTTGCCCCCTGTTCTTTATAAAAAAAAAATTGGCAATTAGATCAGCCTATGCCTAAATTTAGCATGACATGCATATTTACCATGTTTTCTACCGTTCTAGCGCAAAGAAATTAGTGTCGGTGAATCGAAATAGCCGCAAAGCTAATCCTGCTAATTCTTCACTCCATTTAGTACTCATAAACTCACCGATACTCGTAACTATGATACCTTTATCGACAGTTTGAATAGCAAGATTGATTAAACGGAATATTAGTGGATGCCGTATCGGATATCCAATGTAAAATTTCCTAGCTAAAACTTTCGCTCACTCATTTTATTACACACATTCATCATATGCCGGTAACAAATTTGACGCGCAGTATTTCTTTTAACTTATTTAATATGAAAATGGATGTGACATTTTTACTAAAGGTGATTTTATATAAATAACGTGTGAAACTCAAGTGATTTAGATATAATATTAAGTAAATCATTTACGGTGTTTTTGTAGGAGGTTTAAAGTTAACTGATCTATTTAATTTTTAATTAAGTTAACCCCCAAATAGACGATACTATACTTGCCTAAATCCGCTGTTAAATCGGGCATTAAGTTTCGTAACAGATTTGTAACTTTAATCAAATTATTAATAAAAAATTTTAAAAAAAGTTTATTTTAAATAAAACAGGGGGCAAACGGGCTGGAGCCTTTCCTGCTGTTAAGTGATTGTCGTTGCCGGCTTTTTAATCTACGATTAAGGACTACTATTTCAACACTTGTAGCAACAACGGAGCATGGGGCACACATTTAAGGTTTTGTGCTCATGCATAGCAGCCCGATGCTGGCTTCTCCGGAATGGAGGTTATGCGTTATTTGCGTTAACCAATAAGTCGTTGTTTCTAAGTCAATATTAAAAATAAAGCTTTACACTTGACTTTCCCCAAGGCTTTCCCGTTCCATTTTCCTTATGCTGCCGTTTGTCATACAAAGAAATAAACTGTCAGATTTTATTTTATGTGGAATTCGTCTCGGAATACGAATAAAGGAAAAGTTAAAGAGAATTTTCTTTGTTTCCTTTGGTGTAGATGTTTTTCTTATAAAATTGATTTATTATTTAAAAAATTTGCGCAAAAAATTAATGATGCTTCAATATCAGTCAGCAAAGATCAGCAAGACGTCAAGGCAGAATCCAAAATACAACCCGAATCGCCTCGACATCCGTTGTTCCACGGAACGTTTCTTAAGGCAATTTTCGCGTACCACCCCTATGTAGAACCAGCTGCCCACTGAAGTATTTCCGAACTAATTCGACTTAGGATGATTCAAGAAAAGAGGTTACCAATTCTTAAAAGGCCGGCAACGCACTTGCGATCCTTCTTGCAATGTGAGTGTCCATGAGGAGGGTTTCACTTAACATCAGATGAGCCTCCTGCCCATTGGCCCCGTTCTGTAAAAATATATATATTGTTCAGATGCCGAGTAAATTTAATCCACCTAAGTAATTCTAAAAATAACTATGTTTTTTAAGTTCAAACTCTGATGCCATCAAACAATGAACTTTCAATTAGCTTTGAGAGCTCGTAAAGTATTGATAGGATTCACCGAAACCTCTTAAGTTAGTTGTCATTAACAATTTTCAACTTACCTGATCTGCCAAGATCTTCAAACTCTCGAAACTTTGTGGTCTAGTACAATTACAAGTATCACGAGCCGTGTATAAATTGTAAGATTATTTAGACTCTACTAGCAGATAATGTAATATTTGTTACTATGTAAAAATAAAAACCGATAGTCGTAACAACCGATGACGTTGTTATTAAGTACCTAATCGTCGTAAATTGGCATTCTTAGATAAAACAATTGGTATATGAAATATAAACAAAAAAACAATTGGTATATGAAATATAAACAAAAAAACAATTGCAACCAACCATAAAACCTACCGTTAAATTTATATGACCAAAAATAAATGACAAGTAAAAGTCCCTCTTTCATTATTCAATAATTTTAATTTAATATTATGTTGATAGACAATTAGTCTATCATTAAATTGCCTCGTGTACAATATTATACCTGTATACAAAACAAATTACTGTCACGCGAATAACCAAACCTTAAAATAATACCTCTATAATAATATTCAAATATCATATTTATATTGTATTACCGTTTTAAAAATTGTCCATTATTAAATTATAATTAATGTAATATCAAATGTAGGAAAGGAGACAATTTTTTATTGAATTATTAAACACAATTTATTATGCTGTCGCTTTCGCTTTCTCTTGGTACAGGTTGCTTGCCTTAAGATTAGTCCGGGATTACATTTACGTGCTTGAAATGAAGTGCCAAGTACAAGTATTTTGATATCATATTAGAAAAATTAATTTTAACTGGCATTATCCATTCTTTTAACACAATCTTTACGATAATTTTGTCTAGTAAAAGATATTTCTAATAAGATTTTCGTATTGATAATTCAATTTCAATTTCATTTTACACAAAGATGTATAGTGGTACATTATCCAGTATCCAGTGTGCATTATTTCTTCGAGTGTAACAAAAGACGTTTTGCTTTTTTAAAAAAGTCATAAGTTAAAGTCAAAATCATTAAATCATATAGGTAACACAATGTACACTTATGAACGTAAAAAAAAGGAAATGTATATAAAATGCTTCTAACTTTACATTTAGTGCCAGTTCTCAAATCAAGGGCGTAGAAAAACTTATAAAACAGATAAAACCAAACTTGTTAAACATTTTTTTAGCTAAATAACGGTCTATTTCAATAGGAAGTAAGCAAGCAGGTAGTAAAAAAAATCTCATGCGCGAGTACCTTCTTCAGCTTAATATATTGTTTTTATAAATTAATGTATAGGTCTACCAGGATCTGATGGCAAAAAGGGAAAAAAGAAATTGACGCTAGCAATACTGGGGAAATTGGAGTAAAACGTTTTGATACTTTTTTTTCCTTATAGCGGCTGATACATGCAAATATAAAAATGTATCCAATGAACAAGGATAATTTTTGAAAATGTGGCGAATGTGGGTTTGAAATTTAGATGAAAACTCCAATTACTCTGTTCATGAGTTTATTAATTAATTAAGAACTTGAAAATGGTTCAAATACTGCACATCCATAAAAAAGTCTTCAACGCCGTATTTATAATAAACCTTTCCTCCTGCATCTCAATTAACCGATCTTGTTCTATGAATTGATTTTAAATTTTTATTACATGTTCACAATATTTTCACCATTCATCGATCCCTATTTGAGAGAAAGAAACAGTGTACAACTCATTTATCTTGTTTCTGATCAATTCTAAATCAAAACTATCCAAGTTTATTTGTAGTATAAGAAACCCCTGAAATAAACCTAAGTTTAGTATAAGTACATAATATAATACACACGAAAAATCCCATAAACCAAAGTATCAAGACGTGTCATTCCTACTAACCAGTCAACGCTTGCACGTGGCTCAATATCGATGATTGTGTATGATCTGCATCTTGTTGACCAAGTATTCTTTGATAAACATTGAAAACAATATGTCTTGCTTGCGGTCGAAGAGGTTTCTTCGACATTTTCATCACTTTTTAAAAGAAATTTGAAGCCAAACCAAAAACAATTCCTCGAAATTTCACTTGACAGATGAATTTTTTCTTTTATTGCCATATGCAAATCGCTAATTTTTAAATTTTTTTATTGCCATCAGATTCTGGTAGACCTATAGTAAACACGAATACTATATGATGACTGTTTGTTCGTGGTTCCGTTTAGTTTCCAGTACGCCCATGAAACGATGTAATAGCTTTTTTCTTATCGTTAGATAACATTATATTACTTTAACTATTCGATTTTATGTGGTGATTACAAAATATGAAAATGTTTTATTCAAACGTAAATATGTATTAAACATATGGGTGTTATATTCGTGAATTTTCGTATTACTTCATAAATTATTTCCTATAAAACACAGTGAGATTTTCAATGGACTTTTAGTCAATTTTGTCTATATATTAACTACTTTCTAATTGTGTTTTTGGTGTAATTAAAGGGGACAGAATAATTGTTTTTATTATAAGCGGTGTAAGAATACATAATTACGGAGACAAAAACATCAGCTCTTGTCAACTCAAGTGAATAAATATTACAAAAACAGCATTCGAAATATGTATGCTTAATATACCGAATTAACTGTATAACTTTCAACATTAATTATAATAAAAGCTCAAAGTTTTCTTAATAAATAGTGGTGCTTAATAAAGCTTTATGAAACTGCAATTTCCTTATTGTAAAGTCTTTTTCAATATTCCTTAGAGACTCAATTAATAAAAGTTTTCATCGATTCTTTAGTGCCATTTTAGATTTAACCAGTGAAGTACTGTTGTATTTTCACCAAGTATATTTATTTATAAAAAAAAAACTATTTAATATATCCCGAAGTTTTTGTATATAATTTCGATGTATAACTCTGTAATCATAGCGCTTGGTATTGTGTGAAAAACTCACCACTGAAGTCAAAATTAAGATTTACAAAGTACCAACGCAGTCTAGTATACAAATTTTAATATACTGTTAATAAAATTACAGGTTCTTCACGGAGAGGGTTCTGAGGACTGGACCCTTCAAATCAAGTTTGTACAGAAACGAGACAATGGCACTTATGAATGTCAGGTATGGCTTTTTATTATTTTCAAAATCTAGTATCTGGTAAAAGATTTTCACTAAAAATCTGAATCTAGAGAAAGATTATAGTTTTAAAGCCCTTTAGTTGAGGCATGGGTACAGGCATTATATCTTACTGTATTGAATATGGGCTAATGAAAGTCACCTTGCCTTAAAGATTCCTATATCTTAATATATATAAATTACGTGTCACGTTGTTTGTCCGCTATGGACACCTAAACTACCGAAGCGATATCAATCAAATTTGCACACTGTGTGTAGTTTGATCCAACTTTAAGGATAGGATAGGTGACATCTCAATTTATACCCGCAATTATATTTTATTGCAAAATATTTGTTTATTATTTGATAGTAACAATTCTAACAGATGGCGCTGTGTTGAATGTACCAACATTTCACATAAGCTACAATTGAATAGCATAACCACCAAAAAAGCTTGGTGGCCCCCATGACTGGTGTTCTCCTACCGTTTCCCTTGAATAGATTACTACTATGTAGTATAACAAAAACCTTAGCCACAGCAACGCTTGGCCGAGTCTGGTAGTAATAATATATAATATATCGTGTAAGATTTGGGAACCCTTTTAAGTAAAAAATATGTGTGTCTGAGTTCCTAGGTCTTCCATAACAAATTTATAATTAATTCATAAAAAGATTTCCTTTAGTATATAATAGTATAATATAATAAAGGCTAGACAAGGGTAGGAAATTAAACAATAATAATTATTTGATTCACTAATTCACTTCACTGATTTCACATAAACTGTATCACTTCCAAGTTAAGTAAGAAGAATACGTGTGCATGTGTGTCTATTTCCTTAAAAAAATATTTTTTCCGTCCACCGAAGCCTCGACATTCATTCTCAATAGTAAGTCAATATCTCAGTTTACTACTTAGCATTAGATTTTAATAAACGAGTCAATACATCATTCTACGTAATCATAAACTTCTCAATAACAAGAATTATCGTATCAGCCCACGTCTAACTTACTGCATCATAAATTACTGTAACTAATACTCAATATCCAAGGCGAGTAATGTCTTAAATCAAATTATAGGTTATCACTGATACTAATCTTGATACCGTCCGACGTTGTTTCTTGCTTAATTAATTGCATCTATAGTGCAGGGGTTGTTATGCGTGCGACTCTCCAACTCGTGTCGTGTTCTGTGAGCATTTAACACTTTCTCGTGTCCGTACATCGAGAACATAATATCTCAAACACAAAAACCGACGTTGTAGGGTCAAAGAATTATGAAAAGACTGTTGCAATCTAAGACCAAAATCCCAATTACGCGTCATCGGATTATTATTGAAGTGAAACTTCTTTATCGACGTATGGGAGAAATTTTGTAGCAAATCGTCACGTTTTTCGGTTACGCGCCATGTTGCTTTTTGAAGTCAAACGTCAAACTTCTTTATCGGCATTGGAAAAAAATTTACCGTTACATTTTTCGGTTACGCGGCATCTTTTTCTTGTCCCTACCACGGTTGATCCGAAAAGATTCGAAGTCATTAAAAACAAAAATATATAATAACGATAACAATGATAGCAATAATTCTATTACAATTAATGAAATTCTGTAATAATCTTAGTAGTAATAAGGTAAAATGAAATAATTGTATTGTATTCATGTCTATGATAATAAAAGCCTTTTGTTAAACTTTATCTAATTTAACTTTATTTAACCAATTTCTGTAAATTGCATATAGTAGATCATTTTTCGAAAAATAAGGTCATAAAGAAGTTTCAGTTCTTACGTGTGTACACCTAGTATACGCACACATTTTATTATCTACCAGACATAATGAAATTTAAAATTTAATTGTATCATTTAGACAGATTATTACGCGTTTGTGTGATATTAGATTTAACCCGAATATTAAACTATACGTGTTCCCCGTCCAGTCTAAGACACCTGCCTTGCGATTCTGTAACTCACTTTTCGAACTCACACAGCGGTTTTCGCATCGGCGGTCGCTCTCAAATCAGTCGTGAAGCAGTCATTTTATGATTTGGCATTCTGAAAAGGTGGGAGCTTGTAGTTTATTGTTTATCAAATAAATTAGCAAATTGTTCGAAAAGTGAGTTACAGAATCGCATGGCTGTACGAATTATTTTTCTGTTTGTAAATTATATGTTCGTAGAGAAGAAATTCATGGAAGATCCTTGATTAGAATTCTAGACTCTAATGACTAGAGCGCGTTCTCAAGACTGAGGTCATGCGGCAATTGTCGGAATAATATATCGTATAAAAACAGATAGACTTTTAAAAGGAATTTTATATTACATAGTATTTTCATAACAAAGGGTTGGAGCGAGAATTCCGATATTTCTCACACTAAATATATTATGGAGGTATTAGGATGTTTACAAAAGGTAAGCCTTTTCGTTATTTGGGACGAAAATCTTTTTGCCAAAGATTGTTTGAAGTGAAAATCGTTTTTAACACCAAGCGAAAAGAGGTATTATTTATACTTTTGAAATTTTTATTTATGTATTATTTAAAAAGCAGTGTTGACCTAGTAGCTTCAGCGTGCGACTCTCATCCCTGAGATCGTAGGTTCGATCCCCGGCTGTACACCAATGGACTTTCTTTCTATATGGGCATGTAACATTCGCTCGAACGGTGAAGGAAAATATCGTGAGGAAACCGACATGTCTTAGATCCAAAAAGTCGACGGCGTGTGTCAGGCACTAGAGGCTGATCACCTACTTGCCTATTAGATCGAAAAAAAATGATCATGAAACAGATTCAGAAATCTGAGGCCCAGACCTAAAGAGGTTATAGCGCAGATTTTCTTTTATTACTTATATACAATATAAAGACGCCTATCCGTTATAAGTGATCTATTCCAGCCAAACGAAGAATGAAGATGAATAAAAATAGAAATTGCGAAAAAGGTAACCAATTTCCGGTCACAAAATTACATTAAAATATAGTCAAATATAAACATGTATAACAAAGCCAAGAGAAAAGATAATTAGTTATAATAAAAATATCTTTTTTTTAAAGGTTTTAGCAGATTATGTTTTGAGCTTGATTCTTAATTCGCTTTGGGGCAGACACTTTTATGATCACCTATTAAACAAATTACTATTTCTAAAATACCAAAAATTTTGGTGTAGAAAACGTTTTGGTTTACTGTTAACAGTTTCGTCTATTCGTCGCGAATTTTCTGTTTGCACAACATGCAATTTCTATGATTGCGTCAACAGTACGTGAAAGTTGCGAGATTGACCTGAAACAGTTGAAAAGCGTTGCAATATGTTTAATACAAAAATTGCTAAACGAAAAAATGGGAGTCTGTTATAAATTACCTTTTCAGTGGATCATTAATGTTTTGTACCTACCTACCTCCTAGATTTTTGTTGTTCGTCAAGTGTTCTTTCCAGAAAAGATCTACCAATTCTTAAAAGACCGGCAACACCCTCGCGAGCCTTCATTGAGAGCGTTATCACTTAACATCAGATGAGCCTCCTGCCCGTTTGTCCCTTGTTCTATAAAAAAATTTAGAGTAAGAATAACTTTATTTAAACACATATAATAATAGACAGTGACGTTTACAGGTAAATTTTCCTTTTTCGCCGAGGTTTCATCTATTTTCGATAATTGACTCTCCGGGATTCGTTCACGGTTTAAGCCGATTTGACCATGTCGAGTGATTTTTCTTATTAGAAAGAGAGGCTTCGCTTTGGTACGTAGTCTAGCTTAGGACTACTCTAACTTAGCTTAGTCTAACAAATAAGATTAGCGTCAACATTATTGTATCCATATACTTTGCTTTACAGCCAACATGAAGGGCGATTGTATAAATTTAATGACGCACCAATCAACTTGCAGTGGCGTTACGGTAAAGGGTTCTAGGTTACAATTGACATACTATTCGCTTGAAGGGTGCGAACATAAAAGAGTTATTGCTTTTATATAAAAATAATAAATAAATCAGTACTACAACCTCTTTAGGTCTGGGCCTCAGCTTTGTGTATCTATTTCGTGATCGTTTGTCAATCAAATCTGGAGATCTGCCTCCTGTGTCTGACACACGCCGTCTACTTGTCGGGTCTAAGACATGTCGGTTTCCTCACGATGTTTTCCTCCACCGTTCGAAGAAAGTCCATTGAAGTCCACCAACACTGCTTTTATATATTAGTATAATTACTAATTTTATCATTTTAATAAAATACATAACCCATTAACTCTTAATTGAAAATTTTCTGGAACCATTCCATGAAATTGAACTTTTTATTTATTGATTTACACTTAATTGCCATAATACACATAATTATACATATAGAAAAAAACAAAAAGTAAGTAGGTTACATAAGTTATTAGGCAACTGGCGGCCTTACCGCTAACAAGCGATTTCTGCCAGGCAACCCTAAAATGGATCAATAGAAAAAAAGAAACACCTACAGAGGGTAAAGTACAAGAGATGCATAATAAATTAACAAAAAGATACTTAAATAAAATAAGATCTAAAGAAAAGGTATAAATAATAGTATGTATAAACAGACAGGGAAAAGCTCAGCTTAAGGTTAATTGACTCACAATTAATATATAAAAGTAGTAGCTAATCACGAGGCAGAAAAAAAGTGATCAAAAAGGAGATTTTTAAATAAATTAAAAGACTGAACTGACTGACTGATGAATAGGTAAGGAATAGGCTTTTTTATATCTAATATCAATGTTTTTAGATAAAACTATTTTTAATATCTACTGTTGTATAATCATTCTTTAAATCTACAGTACGGAATACGTATGTAGTAAAACAAACAGTTGTCTTCCATTAAATTGTAAGAGAGCTTAAATGTGTTAAGAAAGCATAGAACAATGGGTTATAAATTGGGTTAACATTGGTACTTTATGAACGTCTCTAAGTACAGATGTATGGGCATATGATTGCGTAATTAAAGTCAATAAATACTTAGTTATTTTGCTGTCTAGATGATATTAAGATTTTTTTTCATAATAGTTTATGCAC